TAAAGTCAAAAAGGTGATGACTGCATCAGACGTAACGTCTCAAACGAAAGAAACCTCAGGCCATTTGGAGTATTAGTCAATGAAAGTGACTGCAAAATGACAATCTGAGGGACCATTTGAAAGAGGACCAATAATGTTCATGTCTAACTTCTCCCACGATTTCTCAGGGAAGAGAAACTAGTTGTAGGGGTGCAAAGACAGGTTTCGCCGATTCGTCGGCAGCCTGACAAATGCAACAGTTCCGAACCGCACTTTCAACTTGTTTGTCAAGGTACAGCCACCAATACCTGTCACAAAGCAGCTGCTTTGTACGAATTATGCCTGGATGATTCTCATGGGCTAACTGAATCAATTGCCCCCTGCAAGTTTCTGGAACTGTAACATGTTCCCATGGTAATTGAGCCCACCGGCATAAGACAGTTCGTCTTTCACTGCAAAGTAAGGTACAAGTACTGAAGTCAAATGCTTCTTTGGAGGCCAACCCTCAGCAATGTATTGAATAAGCTGCTGGAAGGTACCATCATTAGCAGTGGCTGCCTGTAACTCGTCCTTATTTAAGCATGCAACAACTAAAGGAATTATCTCTTCTTTCGGCGCCTGTGCTGGCGGAAGCTGGGCTGGCAGCCGAGATAATGCATCCGCTACGACATTATCGGCCCCCTTGCAATATTGTACAGAAAAGTTATAATATAACAGCCAGGCGCACCATCGAGAAATTCGCAAGGGGCGTCGCCCCACTGCACCAGCTGACAGCAAAGTAGTTAAAGCCTGGTGGTCACTCCACAATATAAAATGCCCCCCCCCAAAGATACACGTGCCATTTTTCCACCACAAACAAACAAGCAAGAGCTTCGCGCTCCCCTGCCGAGTACCGGCGTTCTGCCGGAGATAATGTTCTAGATGCAAAAGCAACAGTTAGCAGCTGATCTCCTCTGTGTTGTTGAAGCACTGCTCCGATGCCAACATACAATGCATGGCTGGTAACCACCACCAAAAGATTGTTATCAAAAATATTTATGACCCGGGGGTCATCAAGTAGTTCTTTAACGTGGATGAAACTGACATTGGCCTCAGCGGACCAGTTAAAACTCTGACCTTGCCGGAGTATGCGACGCAGAGGCTAAACAACATCAGCATAATGCGGTAGAAACTCTCCATAATATCCAACTAATATCAAGAAGGATTGGAGTGCTTTAACATCAGTGGGAACAGGGGCATCAAGAATGGCAGCGACCTTAGACTCAACCGGCAATAACCCACGAGCACTTATGTTATGACCTAAGAATGCAATTTCAGTACCAGCAAATACACACTTGTCATTAAGCTTCATGCCACAAGAATCTATTTTAGACAAGACACCTTTCAAGTGTACATCATGCTCTTCCCAATTACGGCCCCAGACTAAAATGTCGTCTAAGTAACAGACAACACCAGGGCACCCCTTCAGTACATCGCTCATCATTTTTTAGAAAATAGCTGGTGCAGATGCCAGCCCGAAGCACATTCTGCGAAATCTGTAAAGCCCTTGATGCGTTACAAAAGTAGCAAGGTCACAACTCTCCTCCGCTAACTCAACCTGGTGGTGTGCGGATGCAAGATCGAGTTTAGAAAAAATTTTAGCACCTTTTAACTGTTGTAAAAGTTCCTCAATATGAGGTAGAGGCAACCCGTCCACCACAATGGTCTTGTTCTGCTTACAGAGATCGACGGACAGTCGGATGAAATAGTCCTATAGTCCTTCTTGCAGACGACAACCAATGAAGACACCCAGTCCGAAGCATCCAGCCTCTCAATGATGCCAGTCGGCTAGTCGTTGCAGCTTGTCGGCAACTTGTTGCCTCAGCAAGAAAAGAAGATGATGCAGTTTGGCCGCCACTGGCTGCACACCAGGTCGACCCTTGACACGGTGAACGTAATTCCGGACGGTGCCAATGTCCGACGAAAACAGGTGGCGATACTCCGGTGATGCATTTGCCAGAACCGCCGAGGAGTCGACAAGAGAACAAGTGAGGGTCTCACCTCTGATGATTATTTTCAGAGCTGAGTGGCATCTAATCCCAGGAGCGAGGTGCCTTTGTCCAAGACGTAGAAGGGCATCGTGGCGCGGTTGCCGTAGTACGAGACTGTTGCCTTGAAATAGCCACGATAATTTATGGCTTGCTTTGAGCAATTCTGTAGAACGAGGTGTGAAGGTAGCAACTTTATATGCACAAGTTTCTTTTATAATCTTGGACGTTGAGTAATGACACAGCTGCTCCAGAGTCGATGAGCATGTTGAAAGTGGATTCATTGGTACCTTCTGGACGATGAAGTCCAATAGTGGTGAACGTTTCGTCCACTTGCAGGACAGTAACTGTATTCGTCCCCGTCGATGTGCCTTGATGACCGGTAGACTGCATAGTAGTGCAGCAGACCCGCGCGAAGTGTCCACGACATCCGCACCGCGAACACGTTCGGCTCCTGGCAGGGCATGCAGCAGAGTTGGCTTAATGCCACGTCGACCCGCAGCGGAGGCAGGCACCCGCGCGAGCCGGCAACGAAGTTGGGGAGGAGGTGTCCGCAGCAGCGGAGGGCAAGGAGATGCATGCAGAAGTCCCGCTGGCACCATCTTGCACCGAAGCTTGGCGAGGACGGCCGCCATTTGGCTTGGAATCTTGAATCGCTCGGCGAGCTGAGTCCCCATCTTGAATCGGACGCGACGACACTGTGTTGACTTGCGCTCCAGTTAACTGTAGCAACCCACGGTTGACGCCTTCCTCCTCTCTCACTTCGTTGAGTGCCTTTTGTAGTGTGAAGTCCTTGCCCATCTTGAAAAAAGTTGTTTGTAGGTGCGGCAACGCGATGCCAGAGACATCTGGCCGAAAGCGAGGATATCGTCCGCTACACCGAATTCACAAAGCTTGGCTACTCGGCGTACTTCCTGTATAAACTCTACCGCCGACTGGTCTGGGCCCTGACGCAGGGCTTTGAAAAAAGCGCGCAGACACGCCACATCCAGTTGAGGGTTAAAGATTTCATTCAGCAGCGCAAGGGCTGCGTCGTACATGTTCGTACACGTCGTCTCCTGGGTTAGCCGGTCAGCTCCCGGCTCATCTTCGGCACCAAAATGTAGTATCGTGCGACAAACGCGCCTTAGGAGAACACAGGGCACGGCGCTGAAGTGTCGGCCGACAAGCAGTGCGGAGCCGCCGGTAGCCAAGAAGGAACTCATTTATTATGTACAATGCCGCGCATATATACACAGGGTAGTGCCCCCTGAGGGCAAAAACGCTTTACATAAAACTGAATTTGGCAACCATGAATTCAAAACCGAAACATCACGGAAATAAGGCTATGTAATCAGTGCAGAATAAAAACAAGACACAGCAGTTTACAAAAGAAACGTCTTGATGAAAAATTACATCATCTCCCGATAAAGGAAACCATGTGTAGATGCGAAATAGCAGGCGCTCATGCTAACACTGGCGGCGGCATAGACGCTGGCGCTCATTGAGACGTTGCGCAGCAGTGAAACCTGGGGAGGCGCAAAGCACCCAGTGGCGAACTAGTGTTTCCTACAGAAACATGCCAATCGCTGCTAATAGGCAATGAGAGCCAGAAAACTCCAACTCAACACAGAAACCCGCAGTCTTCTTTAATTAACACGCATGCTGAGAATTTTTTTTTTGTTCAAAAACTCACAGGAGAAATTTCCCACCGGCGCTACTTGGAGGTCCAGATCCAGTGCCTATGTATATATATATGGGGTGGCGTCTGAACAGTTGTGCAGCCCAAGCAGTCGGTTTTTAAGGGGTGAAGCTTCTCTTAGTCTAACCTTGTCCTGCGTCTAGCATCACTGTCTAGCATCACTGGCTGGGCGGACATACAGACAGAAGGACTAACAAACACTTCGCCCCACTTATCATCACTCCCTCCGTGAATATGCTGTGTATTTTTTTTTAATCAAGAAACTCGCTAGCAGACGCTGCCTGTGTCGGCGTTGCGAGGTGAGAGGGCGAGGAAAGTGAAGAGAAAAATAGGGCAGGGAATAAAAATGTGCAATGGGCGTGTAAACGCCCATTGCAAGGAAGGATGCCTAGACGGGAGAGAGGGAGGAATGAGCAGACGCTGCCTGTGTCAGCGTTGTGAAGTGAGAGGGCAGAGCATAGGAGGGCAGAGATGGAGTGGGGTGCGCATGCACCGTAAGGGTGGTACCCCCGCACACCGGTTTAAGCTCGACTATAAGATGTCGCATCGAAAACGTATTTGATGGGTTTGTCCCGATCCTCTCCTCCTCAAGAGTGCTTCTTCCCTTCTCCTCAAAGGTGTGCGCACAGGCGGGTGCAAAGGGGGAGAGGGGTCACCTCCTAGTCACCCAAAAAGGGGGCCCAATGTCTAACCCATACAGTAGATATAAAAATGAAAGGGGGTGGAGACGCTTCGATGAACATTCATCCCCTATCTAAAGGAGATATAACCCTGTGCTCGCTTATGCTCCTACTGAGATGCCACGAGTACAAATGTTTTTTTTTTTTGCTCTCTCTCTCTTTTTTAGCAGGGTTACTGCTCGTGCAAAGCACGAAACTGCGTCTTTGACTGCACGGCGTGTGCGCAGCGACACCAAGCACCAGTGAACCGGCAGAGTGGCCGACCAAACGCCGGCATAAACTAGCTACGTAGACCTCCCCCAAACAATTGTTACGACGTCTGCCGCATGGCGGCGCTAGCAGGCGCAGCGCCAGGGGCGGGCACGGGGGTTTGGAGCCCCTCCAAAATTTTGTCAGCCTCCCCCCATAGCCCTCCCCTAGAGGGAACAGTCACAACACAATGGCTAAGTTCCCCCCTTCCTGACCCCCCCCTTAAAGAACTCTCTTATTGTGACGTCACTACAAATCACATCCCCTGGTTAGAATGTTTGTTTGTTTTCCTTCATGTTCTGTCCACTGAGAAAGTAAAACAGGTTATCCTTTCTTGTTTAGTGCCCACTAAGCAAACTTCCAAGGGTGCAGTGAGCCACTCACCATGTCACTGGCGTCGGAATCACTGCTGTCGCACTCTCCAAGGCTGCTCTTTTCTTCATCCCCTTCATCTGCAACAAAGTGGTGGATTTCATCTACAAGTCACCTGTAGATGAAAAGCTCTTATATTCCCACCATTTCATTATTAAAAAGTGCCTCAAGGCCCAAGATGTGCAAGTGGCTCAACTTAAAGGACTGCTCACACAAATTTTAAATATTTTTGGATTGTCATAATAAATAGTGTTGAAAACTCTGGAAAGTGTTCTGTGGTGCCTGGAATTGCACAAAATGCTGTTTTAATACTGCCACCTTTAAAAAACACACTTTAAGTTTTCATAGTGATCGCAGTGCGATGTCACGAAGGGCCGGCAGCTTGTGGTGCACATCAAGAACGACCATCCAAAGACGTAGACACAGATTTTTCAAATTTCCGCTACACGCATGATGCAGAGTTCACAAACTCCATGGAACTGCATTGACTCGTCGTAATGTTCATTATAGTGAGGCTGGCTTGCTAATGTCCTGTGAAAAAAAAAACTGTAAAATCAAAGCAAAATATTTCATACGTGTTGACTCCGGTGTGTGAAAAGCATTAACGCTGCATACCAAGGAAACGAAAACTATTCTTTTTACAAGCATGTCAGTACTGTTCCACTCCAAAAATAAACAAAAATGAAACATTTCCTGCTCTCTTAGAACACTGTGATTGAGTTTTCAATACAATTCGAGCCTCTGGCAGATAAAAAAAAAATTGTGTCCAATTTTAGAACAAAACAGAAAAGCAAAAGGAAGCCTTAAAATGAACCCCTTAAAATCAATGCTGAGAGCTGGGATAGTTGGTATGGGTTTATACTTGATCAAACTGTGTGGCAGGGCGGTACATGGAAAGAAGCGAAAGAAAAGCACCCACTTACAACTGAGTTTACTGAAAATACACAATCGGCCTTTCAATCGTACTCGAGCGAATAAAACGTGATGAGAGACACCATAGTAGAAGGCACCGGAAATTTGGACCATCTGGTGTTTTTAAACGTGCTCCTAAAGCTAAGTACACGGGCCTCAAGCATTTTGTGCGCCATTAAAAACGCGGCCACCGCGGCCGGGATTCGATCCCATGACCTTCGTGTCTGCAGCCTGTTAAGTTTGGCCTGGAAATTCGTCTGGGCAGACGCCATTGTGCGTAAGCCGGTCCACTGGGGAGGCTCTCAATCCCTTCGGCACCCAGTCTGCCAGACGCTGTCGAAGATTTGAGTAATTACCCAGAAAACGCGGCAAGCAAAGACGAGTTCCCGTCTTTCAAATGCGGACCCTTTTGTCGTCCCTTCAAGCAGCAGCGGTGCCTAATGACCTCGCTGATTCATCTGGCGACGGGGAAGCTGTTGTGACCAGCGCCAGAGCTGACAGGAGAGCGGCGCTCCTTTTAATTCCCAATCAAGCAGACGATCGGCCGGCTGCCTATGCCCGCCAGGCATTGTCCCAGCTAGCCGGAGGATGAGACGTCGTGTCGCCACGATGCCACGACGAGAGAGGACAACAAAAACAGCATCTTCCTGGAAGAGACCGCGGCGGCCACCGCAAATCACCCCGCCAATTAGGCGAGCTGTGCGGCAGACCCTTTGATGTACTCTGTCAGGATCGTGGGAACTCTCGACTAGCGGCACACACACGACGAGGAAGAGCCCTGCTGGCGCCACCTTGCAGTGCAGTGCTCACGACTGAATATTGGACGTTCACGTGGACCGTGCATGCTCGGCCCCCTCACCTGTTGTGTGTGTGTGATTGGTGTGCCACTCGGAGAGGAGGAGCCCGACAGGGCTTAAAACGACGCCGAAGAGTGCTGGACGTCGCTCTGAACCATGCAACGATTCAACCACCACGCTCGTGGTTTGTGACACCCCTAACCTTTCTTTGCTCTAAATATGTGTAAATAGTGCCATAAACCTGTTTGTTTTTCGTATCCTCTTCTTGTCAGCGTTCATTTCCTCCAGCCGGTTGCACCACGCTAACACAAGAGACCGGGTAGTCCCTCAACCTTTACAACTGGTGGCAGCGGTGGAATGCCATCAGCAAACGACCTTCCTTCCGACCCCTTACTACTGGTGGCAGCGGTGGGAAGTCCCCCATCTGCAACTTCTTCCTTCCCATCCATAACAACTGGTGGCAGCGGTGGGATGCCAGCAACATCCTCCTCCTTCCGACCCTAACGAGCCGAGTGCCTTAGCCACCAGACTACTACGACGGGTACAGAAAATGTAGTGAACAAGTTCTGTCGCATGCAAAGCAAGTGGTCAGTATGATTAATGGATAGGTGGTTCCTGCTGGTATGAATCATCTCTTTGGCTCAAAACCACACCTTCGACAGTACATCAAGGCATTAAACAAAGTATAGCTTATGCTCCCTTAATTAGTGTTTCCCATAAATACACTAGAAGAAACTCCGGTGCTAGTGCCTATGGGAGCACGGTTCTTCAGCCAGCATGGGAATGATGGGTAGTACATAGATTTGCCTAGTCTTCATTATTTTAGCTTCGTTTGGCTCCATGTGGCCTGCATCCACTTCACCACAAGAAGAAGTTCAGCATAGATTAAGCAACGTTTCACAACCTTGACCTTTTTAGGCTGACCAATTCAAATTGGCTCACAAAGTACATATTGGTCAGTCTTTTTATTTACTTTTTAATTTTTTCCTTTCAAACTTTATTTGGAACAATTTACAAATTTTCTTAGGAGATGCAGCAAAAGGCCCAAAAGGTGGCCGACTAGGCTACATCACTCAAACAGCAGCTGCAACAGTGAGCCTCTGCAATTGTTCGCTTGGGCTATTAGACAGCAGCCAGCGGACAGCCCGAGACATTCATTTTTCTCGGGCAGCCCTGAAGCTTCGCCCACCTGCCGCAGCGCTGCCGCAAACATGTTTGTTTTTCCCTCTATGGCAGCCAGTGGACTGCCCGCGGACACCCTCTTCTGCCGGAACGATTTTGCGCTGGCACCGAGCAGACAACATGCTTTTGAGTTTTTTTTTTTTTTACTTCGTCGCGTCGTCTGCCCGTGAGCATAGTCTCTTCCGATCAGAAGTTTGGCGCTCGGTTTGACAACCTTTTTCGATTTGCTGCTTCCTCGTTTGCTAGATGTGCATTTCAGTTGTAGCCTTACCGTGTTTAGGATGGTGTCTCCTAACGCCACGAAATATTTTTTTAATGAGATGCAGATCGAAGTGCGCCCTGTCTGTAAGAATGGAGGCTTTGTTCGGCCCAATGGTAGCCCCATGTATGTGAACGAAGGTAAGACATTTTATTGTCGTGCGAGTAATCTTCGTGTTGTCTACGTTTAATTCTTGCCCTCTCCCTGCGATAAAGCTTGCCTTGGTTGTAGCTCTATTACAAATCTGATGGTCGGTGTATGTGAATGTGACAGCTGTCAACGTCCGTGATGACATCTCGAGCGCCGGCTGTCAACCCTTGATGTTGATACAATGCACAAAATGCACGCTTATTTCGTGCAATGTCGTTGCTGTCTGGCCTCTTGATCTCTCTCACACTAACAGCCAAGAACCTGATGTATTGGTACGTGCACACTCAGCTCCACTCACGTCGAATTTGGTCCGCGATCCCAAGCATTGTAGTTTGAGTGCCGAGCTCAGTTCGATCAGCACGGTCTTCTCAGTTGACACTTTCATTCATCCGATGTGACCATTGCGGGTAAAAGGCATACCTCGAAATTTTTGCTGCAAGACCCACAGATGTGTTTTTGAACAGTCAAAACATTTTTCTGAACTCCATGTCTACATACGCTGGCACAACTCACTCGACGTATAACAAAACACGGTGCCGTTTCTGCCTCATTACTCGGGCCAACAACAGGTTGATGGTGTGATGTTCCCCACCATCCTCTTCAATTGCCTCATAAGTATTCAGCATCACAATAGTCTCGTCTGCCAAAGCCTCCTTGTTTACAGGCCAACGATGTAGCAGATGAGACAGCAAACATGGCTGGGCTAGCGTGACGACAATGATGATGCTGCGGGGGCAGGCTCGGGCTGCCCGATGCTTGCCCCAAGATGTTGCTCTCGTCACGGTAACACATACTTGCTCTCATTTCCTGTACAAAGGCAGCCCGAAAACCAAAAACTGAAAAGGCTCAGTGCGATCTGTCATTCACAATTCACATAACTGCAAGAACACATGTATGTTACAATACAAGAACAATAAAAAAAATGCTCTTTTCGCTTTGAAAGAGAAAAAAAACAGAAATATAAAGCAACAAACAGATGTAAACATGTGGCAGAATCTATTTTTTAAAAATTGTACGATATGCATTACAAAGCATTCAGCAACACATCCAGGCATAACTTTGCACAAAAACCTAATGCTCGGAAAATTGTAATTATTTTACATGCTTTTTAAATTGTGTTGGAAAGATTCTATCTTGCAATAGGTTTATTACACCTGCATATTTGCTTAAAATGTATAGTGTTAATTTTGCGGACTTTTGTAAGCCGTACGTTCTTCGTGATCGGAATTTGACGAAAGTCTAGCCGGCTTATAACGAACCGGACTATGACGCGGCCTCCATTCACTGTATTTCAAAGTTCGTAGTAAATGAAGCACATCTATAAAACTGTTGCTTGTGAAAAAAAAAAGCTTTTTTTTTTTTGCAAGAAAAGAGTCTGTAATGCCCGTGTTTAGTAGAGCAGAAGAAATTAGGGTGGCCTTGAGTTTTAACGCAGCAGCGAGCTCTTCATTGAGGCTCTTGGCATATACAAGCTGTGTCTTGGCATATACAAGCTGTGTCTTGGCATATACAAGCTGTCTTGTATATGCCAAGAGTCTTGTATATTCCCGTGTATTGTATATACAACACACGAGAACAAGGCAGGTAGGGTAGCTTGCTTGAAAGGTCCATGAAAGGTGCAACTTGTGCATAGGAAAACTTGCGAAAGTGGCCTGCCCACACAGAGCTAAAAGAATTGCATTGTGGGACCAGTGAGCTTGTGTGGCCTCACCGACTTCATTAATCCCGATATGTTCCGCGCAACAGCCTTTTTTAAGTTTCCACACACATGCGAAGGGAA